TATTAAACATGTTAAAAGTTTTGAATTAAGACAAATATGATGTAAATTTCCCACATGTGCCCACCAATGCAATTACAAGTAGGGAAAAGAGTGATGTAAAAACAGTTTAAACCTAAAGATAGGTCACAGAGGACAGTCTGACTTATAAATTTTGTTCTCATAATGATTTAAAATGAGTTTCATCATGTTCATTTTTTTCATAAACCGTCCATGGCCATTACCTACATGTAATAAATTTTGTGAATTATTGTATGCACAAACTGATGACCACTGTCAAAATTTTGATAACTTAGACTGCAAATCAAAATTTTTATGATAAATGACCACTGAAGATAAAGATATACTTGAAAAGTTGAGTTATTTTCTTATACAGAGTTTTGCATGGAGTAAATTTGTAAAGCAGTAGTCATAATTGTAAAGGTACTATTCCAGTTGTTGCAATTTAAATGTTGTACATATATACATAAATATTTTGTAATTGGTTGCTGCATTAACATGGGAGAAAATTACCCTGATATTTAATCAGTTGGGGCTTCTTTTTCATGTTTTTTTCCAACTCGGACATCCTAAAAGTTTATTAGATACTGTTCAAAGGGAAATAAATCTTAAATATTAATTGATTGTCTCCCCTATTAACATTTCTCTCTCAAGTGCATGCACTGACTATTCATTCTTCTATTATGTTGTATTTTATTATTTCATTGTCATAAAAAAAAAACATTGTAATCATTAAAACTTTAGGCAATAGGAAAAGATGGAATTATCCTATACAATTTCTAAATTAATAAATAAATCAATAGAATCAGCTGTTTTCCAGGACAAAATAAAGGAAGCACAAGTTATAGCTTATACCTCTGCTTAAAAAAATCAAACAGTAGTGTAACATACAAGTCATTTTTATATACTTGGAAGATGAAAGTCAAAAAAAAAACAATTCAACAAAATTAATATATAAAATGTTAAAATTTTAGGCAACAGGAAAAGATGGAATTTCTTCCAAAATGAAAAAAAACTATCTGGATCTGAATTATCTTATCCAATTTCTGAATTAATAAATAAATTAATTGAATCAGCTGTTTTCCCAGACAAACTAAAGGAAGCACAAGTTATTACTTATAATAAACACTCAGGGCACTCTACATTGTAGATAAAGGAAACTACAGACATGTATTGTGGATGATTACAAGTTTGTTATGCTTGCAAGTTCGTGACATTGGGGAATTTCCTCTTAACTCATGACATCATCATGATCATGCATGAATGTTTATTATCTGCAACAACATATTCCAAAGAACTTATAATGAAGTTTTTATGCCCCCGCCGTAGCGGAGGGGGCATTAAGTTTTACCCTTGTCCGTCTGTACGTACGTACGTACGTACGTCCGTCCGTACGTCCCGAAATTGGTTTCCGTTCTCTAACTTGAGTTTGCCTCAACCAAATGTTATGAAACTTATACACAATGCTTATTACCACAAAACACAGATCAAGTTTGAATTTTGGTGGCGTCACTTTAACCGATCTAGAGTTATGCCCCTTTATAAAAGGAAATATTGCAAAATTTTTAGTTTCCGTTCTCTAACTTAAGTTTGCCTCAACCAAATGTTATGAAACTTATACACAATGCTTATTACCACAAAACACAGATCAAGTTTGAATTTTGGTGGTGTCACTTTTACCGATCTAGAGTTATGCCCCTTTATAAAAGGAAAAATTGCAAAATTTTTATTTTCTTCTAAATATCAAGTTTATATAATATATTTTTAAAATTGGAGTTATCTTCCTTTGACCATGATTATAGTTGGATCAACTACAATCAATGCTTTATACAATGAAATGTTTAATTTTGACTTCCACTGATAAAACACAGATCAAGTTGAATTTGGGTAGTGTCACTTTAACCATTATTGAGTTATGCCCCTTTATAAATAGAAAGATTGCAAATTTTTTTAGTTTCCATTCTGTAACTGAAGTTTTCCCCAGCCAAACATTATGAAACCTATAACAATATTCATTACCACAAAACTCAGTAAGGATCAAGTACAATTTTTTGTTTCAGTTCTCTAACTTGAGTTTGCCTCAACCAAATGTTATGAAACTTATACACAATGCTTATTACTACATAATACAGATAAAAAGTAGGTGGCAACACTTTTACCATTCTAGAGTTATGTCCCTTTATAAACATAAAAATTGCTGAATTTTTTAGTTTGTCTCAACCAAATGTTGTAAAACTTATACACAACTGTTCTAGAGTTATGGGTGTTTACAAATAGAAAAATTGCTGAATTTTTAGTTTCTGTTCTCTACTTAAGTTAGCCTCAACCAAATGTTATGAGACTTACACACAATGCTTATTACCACAAAACTCAGATCAATTTCAAATTTGGGTAGCGTCACTTTTATCATTCTTCAGTTAAGTCTCTTTATAACTATATGATATGCAAGCGGGGGCATCATCTGTGTCCACATGTGGACACTATCCACATTTATTTGTTTTGTTTTAACCAATTTAAACATAAAAAGATAAGCTATAAATGCATTTTCTTGCAAATATTTTATTTAAATATCTGTTTTCACTATCATATGTACATCATGTACATGTTCTGTTTTATTCCTGCCTAGAAGTTTTATGAATTCTATGGAAAATCCCTTCAGCAACATTGTTGACACCTGGAACAATGAGTCATCATCTATTTGTAGGTCATGGGATGCTCATTTCCCCCTCAAGGCCAAAAACATTATTTCCAATGTATTTAAAAAGTCAACAGATTTTTTTAAATCGAAAAGTGTTTTTATGTAATGAGAAAGAAAACTTGATTTGCAAGTAATAAATTTTTGTTTCCATTCTTTAACTTTAGTTTGCCTCAACCAAATGTTATGAAACTTATACATGTTATATACAATGCTTATTACCACAAAATACAGATAAAGTTTGAATTTTGGTGGTGTCACTTTTATTGTTCTAGAGTTGTGCCCCTTTACAAATGGAAAATTGAATTTTTCGTTCCATTCTCTAACTTAAGTTTGCCTCAATTAAATGTTATGAAACTTATACACAATGCGAATTACCACAAAATACAGATCAAGTTTGATTTTTGGTGGTGTCACTTTTATTGCTTTAAAGTTGTGCCCCTATACCAGTCAAGGGTCTAACTTAAATAAGTTATTAGAGAAAAATAACATACATTTGTTATTGGGGGCTAAAAAATCAAAAATCTGTGATAACATATGTATGTTACATGTTTCAAAGGGGCATTATATACATCGTTTATTTTGTTAAATTGTGTACTAGTTCTATTGATATTATAATTGTCTTTATGTATACACATGTATTAAACTTTAGAAAGATATAACCATGATAACAGCCCATAGTTTGCCAATCATGCATAACACGCCCATGTTATTACAGAAAAAATATGCCTGTAATATTAACTAAAGGGTGTTATTACAGCTTCTCTACATCTCTTCAAAGCCTTTTCTACTACATATATCACAATGTATTTTAATTTATTGTAATAAATAATGATAAGAGCATGTAATGAGGTTCTGCGCAAGCTTCTTAGTCATTCCCAAGTGTCTCATGTAATAAGTTAAATGCCTGTAATAACTAAGCCTTGTTATTACAGCTAAGTTATCACTTAAAAGCCTTGTCTCATTGATTTACCATGGTTGATCAAAAATGTATTAATTGAATTGGAAAATTAGTTTTCAAGGTTATGTATTAAGTTACTGCGTAAGTTTCAAGATTTCATAAGTGCCCACTGAAAATAAAAAAAATTATGGTACATTTAACTGATAACAAACATATGTTACTACAGATTAAGAGAAAGTATTCGTAATAACACATGTATGTTATTTTTCTCTAATAACTTATTCAAGTTACACCCTTGACTGTATACAAATGGAAAATTTGCTGAATTTTCTTTTCTGCTCTTTAACATGTTTAACTTAGTTTGCCTCAACCAAATGTATGAAACTTATACACAATACTTATTTGCCTCAACCAAATGTTATGAAACTTATACACAATACTTATTACTACAAAACTCAGATCAATAACAAATTTGGGTAGAGTCACTTTTACCGTTCTTCAGTTATGTCCCTTTATAACTTTATATTATATGCAAGCGGGGGCATCATCTGTGTCCCATGGACACATTCTCCATTTATTTAATATTTCTTTAAATGACATTTTCTATTTTATTCATAAAAGTGAACTTTATAATTATGCAGATCTATGACTTCACTTTCATCATGATCATATGCAGATAGTAACCTACAAAGTACAATGTAGATAAATTATTTACTAATCTTATAGTCTGCACCATTAGCCACTAGTCTGATGCCCCAGACTAGGTAAATTTTATTGGGATTAGTAAGTATTTGCAAATATTCGTTTATAAACATACATTTTAAGAACATTGTTGGAATATTGGTCTTCAGACTAGTAGTTGGAAAATATTTTGGTGCAGACTGAGATGATCTAGAAGATCAAAGCAAAATATGGATTAATTGGTTCTCAATAAATAAAATGAAAGCTAATCCAGAAAATTTTAGGCGATAGCAAAAGTTAAAGAAGTAAAGACAAAACATTTAAATTTAATTTAGAAGGCATGTAAATGTAGAATGCAAAAATGAGGTTAAACTTTTAGGAGTAACAATAGACTTTAAACTGAATTTCAATGAACATGTCCCTATAATACGTAAAAAAAAGCATCCAAACAGCTAAATGTATAAACATGATTAAAAAGAATTGGAAAACATCTGACTTAACTTGGAAAATTAACAATTTATTATTGTTTCATAATGTCCAATTTTGATTACCATGATTACTGCCCACTTAAGTTTGGCACTTTCATTGGAAGGTATAAAATACAAAATAGATTGAGAAAATTCAAGAGAGAGCTCTAAGATTTATGAAGACTATTCAGCAAGTTATGAAGATCTACATGTACTCTGCAAATCAAATTTAATGAAGTTTTTTTTATATTATTGACAGGGCATATCCATCACTGAACTTGAGGTTGAATGTGAATAACAAGCAAAATGAAGTTGATATTGTGTTACCAGGGTTACGATATGATGATATTGATCATTTTGGTAAGTCAGATAAAATGTACATGTAAATTTATGACAGTATGTGAAATGTGAACCTAACATCTGTTAATAGAAAGTCTACCAATTGAAAACTTAACATTAAGAGGTCACTACATGGCCTTGAAAGACTGGCAAGTGTCAATTGTATTTAGCAAAGATTTGGCATAGTTCCACAATTACTTAAATGTGTTAATTAAAAGTAGTTGTACAAAAAAAAGAGATAACAGGAATTGCCAAAAATACACATCGACAACAGATCATATCAAAAATACACATAGACAACAGATCATATCAAAAATACACATAGATAACAGATCATATCAAAAATACACATAGATAACAGATCATATCAAAAATACACATAGACAACAGATCATATCAAAAATACACATAGACAACAGATCATATCAAAAATACACATAGACAACAGATCATATCAACCACATAAAAATGACAAAGAAAACAAACAGTATAGTTAAAGGTGAACAATTCTTTTCTATTAAAGAATGAGGTCAATAAAGTCCAGGGTAATACTTATTCAAGTCATGTTTATATACTCCTCTATTTCGCTGAACTAGTATACATTATTGCTTAGGGGCCAGCTGAAGCCCGCCTCTGGGTGCGAGATTTTCTCGCTGCATTGAAGACCAGTTGGTGGCCTTGGGCTGTTTTCTGCTCTTTGGTCGGGTTGTTGTCTTTTTGACACATTCCCCATTTCCATTCTCAATTCTATTGAAGATGTAAGTATTAAAGTAATATTTACTAGTACTTGAAAGATTTGTATTTCTCTTCAAGGTTTGAATAATCTCCCCTTATGCTTCTCAAAAAAATTATTTATATGAGCATTTTTTTATACAACCCCTGAAATTCTTTTTTTTTTTTTTTTTTTTTGAGGACAAACAAGCTTTAAACATTTTTTTTTTTTGCTTAGTATTCTTTTTGTGAAGTTCAACGTTTTATTTCAATAATTAAACAAAGAATCTGCTGATCACAGATGTTATTAAGTAACTGACGAAGTCTTCATAATTGTTCTCTGGAAGCTTTTAAAAAGTCAGTTTTAAGATAATAGACAAATTTTTAAGTTCACAAAATCTAAACGTCCAAAGGATATACATTGAAACTAACTCAAAAATTATTTACAGGTACTAGTAAATAAAAAAACCCACTAGTTTAAGTTTAACCCTGTCATATGAAAATAAGAAGATGTGGTATGATTGCCAGTGAAAGACCAGAGACCAAATGACATAGAAGTTAACAACTATAGGTCACTATACGGCCTACATGTAGGTCTTCATACAATGTAGGGTCTCCAATTTGTAGAAATTATTCTATATGACATGTACGATATGACAAAGTCTAAATTGTTCCAGGGTGTTGACAAGTTATACATGTTATACATAAATTAATATATTTTGGCTTACTGAAATACTTATTTACATATACTCTTCAGCATGTTGAATGTTTTTACCTTTCTTACCTTTCAGGTCAACCAGACATTTGGAGGGTGTTTGACATGATGAATACTGTAGAGACGGCAGCATTTTATAATCAAGAGTCATTCCTTGACTATAATACTTTACTGAAACAAAACTACTCAACCATTACCAAAGCTTGCTCAGTTGATATTAAGAAGGACTTTTATGAAGTTGTTACTCCAAAAGCTCCGGTGGAAGTTAGTTGTAAATTGAAACGGGTCGGAAATACCTCATTCACTACAGTTGTAGAACTTTGTTGTGGTGGTAAAATGAAACCATCAGTTTCCTGTAAAAATATCCATACAATTATCAATGTGCATGAAAATAGCGTAGAACAAATACCAGAATGGTGGAGAAAGCGTTATGAGATAAAGGAAAATGCTGATGAAGATAAAAATCATCAGGCTACGTTTGTTAATCCTCAGGAAAAACCAATGGACACATTCTATAATGAATTTTCCGTCCCGTTAAGTGATACTGACATCAGGCATAAAACTCGCTGTGCTTCTTACTTTCAGTATTTTATTGAGAATGCCAGCATTGCCTCAAACAAACAGTTTTACAGAAATATTCAAAGAAACTTTCATGAGTTTCATATCAAGAAATTTAATTTGTTATACCTCCATCCAAGTAATTGGGGTGACGGGTTATATTCAGAGAGCTGGGAAGATGATAAAAATCCTCTAATACTACATTGTCAGATCAGTTCACAGAAGGATAGAATTCCAATATGGTATGGACAGATATCACTGTTCTCTGAGGTATTTGGTGTGCACGATCAGTAACATTTGATGATCAAATTAACATTGTATTTGATTTTATGATATTAAATTTGAAATACCAAGTCAAGGTTTATAGTTTTGCCTCTCTGAACAGTAAAAACATATGTTACTCTAGCCTGGGTCAAAAGTTCATGTAGGTCAGACATTAACGTATAACTTACTCAGGCAGTGGTAAAGGCAACGTTATATCAATGTCTTATGAGTCTTATCACAACTTTTAGTTTTACTTAAGATTACACCAGCAAAAAATTATCAACATGACAAGATCTACAAATTCATAAAATGTATCAAATGACTAAAATGATGATTTTTGGGCAATTTTTGCATTTCTGACCCAAAAAGAGTACAAAAATGAGTACAAAAAAGAGTACAAAAACTGTAAATTGCAAAAATTATTGCCAAGGCTAGATCTGCAAATTTGTCAAGTGTGCAGAAGACTTCTAATTTAGAAGTTTTTGCCTTTTAACATGTTTAATGATGTTATGATTTCAGGCATAAGATGCAAAAACTGTAAACTGTAAATATGACGAGCTAAACAAGATCTACAGTACTACCTGTGACATTCTCTTATTAATGGTGGCCATAAAATCTATGTTCACCATGATAGCCCTATGTGTCCATCATTATACCCCCTGTTTGCTTTAGTTAATACACAAGGTATTAATCAAAAACTAGTCAAGGGTAAAGGGAAATCATGATTACCTTTAGGTGATAAAATTAAATAACTTGCAGGTAAAGTGTCTCAGGTAAAATAAATGTGTTTGTCAAATTTAATTGCTGTAATAATGACAAAAAAATAAAAAAATTAAATGAAATAATAAAACTAGTTGAACATATGGCTATATAATATTAAGAAAAAATGTCTCATGACCTCAGTTTTTATATGTAGCTAATACCATGCATACTGCCATGAATGTTTTTTTTGCTGTTATACCTTTTAAATAATTTTCTCAATTTTAGTTATTTCTTACATATATCAGTCAGGGGTGCTACTTAAACAAGTGATTTCATCATCACTTATTTCAGTGATTTGATAAATTCAGTTATCACCTATTTAAGTGATTTTAGTGTTTTCTTTGATCTTCAAATGCTAATTTCATTGATTTTCCATATTTTCACAATCTTTTCTATAATTTTCCTACATAAATCAATTATCCCTTTTTCTTTGTATATTAATTTCACCAGTGCGCTTGGGCAGTAAGTTAGTGCACTAAAGCTTTTAAAAGTACCCTTGGGAATTTTTCTGTAATCAAAAATTCATTAACTACTCTTACTATCAGACAAAGATCAACAATATTAGGTAATCTGATTGGTTTTCTTTAGAGTTAGAATGATCTACTTCAAGGTTATGACCTGATCTACAAACTACTCCAGTTTTTGCATATTTTAAAAAAACTGTAAAAGTGTCAGGCTTATCAAGCAAAAGACAATTCCTGCAAATACATAGTTGTTTTTTCAATGGAATTGTTGTCTTTTTACCAATAAAAAAATCAAGCTTGTGGGAAAAATATCAAGAAAATGTTATAAACACTTATTAAAGTGATTACATTTTAACTTCTAAAATTACTTGTTTCAGTGATTTTAAAAAGTCTGTGTGAAAATTTTTAATATTTCACAGCCAAAATCACTCGAGGGAGTGATTCTGAAATCACTTGTTTAAGTAGTACCCCTGACTGTATATTTTTAAACAAGTGGAGAATAAATGAATCTCATCTTCTAATATATATATATTGCAAACTTTCACAATGCCTGCCTTTTTCTTCTGAAAAGGTGTTTCTCAAATTACTTGTCTAAAATCAAAATTGTGAAGACTTAGAGATGCTGATCCTCCATTCAACGTTGTTTAACAAATGTTTAAGATTATCTTTAGGACTTTATCTAAATAAAATGTAGGCAATTCATTCTCTCTCTATTGAAATTTTAAAATAAAATAATGTACAGCAAAATTTAATAATATCTTTATTGTCATATAATCGTAATTAGTTTGTGACAAAAAAATACAAAAACAAAAATGAACATTATAACGCAAAGAAATAACAATTCTATAAGAGGTGAACACATGGAAAAAAATTATAAGGTTTCTGCCCTCAGTTCTAATAACTATTTTATAAAGGAGCCAACATTTTGAACATGTTCCATGATAGAGGGGTTTAGCATTTACTTTACTTTTGTTCTTGGGTAAGGGACATAATTATGAGAAGGTAAACAATTTTCAAATAGATTATTTCTTAGTTTTTTTGTTGATTTTACAATCAACATGATCAAGGAGGAAGTGTTTTTCATCCTCCAGCAAGTTGCACACTTAACATATATATCTGTATATATTCTATCCTTTGTAGGAATTTTATGATATCAACTTTTTTTCTATTTCTAAATTATGGTCACAAATTCTGAACTTAGTGAAGCATTTGAGTTTACTATTTTCATCATAACTTTTTATTCTATTTTCAAAAGTACTATATTTTTCTTTCAATTCATTTTTAATCAAGGGCTTTAAACATGTTAAAGAGTTTACTTCATTATTCAAAATGATTTAATTTAACAGTCCATAAAAATGTCACAATCTAAAGAAGTGTACTTCAATTTTTCTGGAGAAAATTTTGGCTGTTAACTGACAGAAATTAGCCAAACTGAAGATGACATAATTTGATTAGTTTACATAAGAATTTGTATAGTCTTACTATACAAATTCTTTGTTTACAATTGGTTCAAAATACAAGACAATCATTTTCTTTTCATAAGATTCACTTCATTCAGAGATCAGGAAATTTTTGCTTAGCATTTTTAATGGAGGTTTATCAAATTTTGATGATATACTAATATATTGAATGTAGGACAGAACCTAAGATGATTTCCAACCTTTTGAAATGAATAAATAAAAAAGTTCTATTTCAATCTTTAAACAAAACTTATTCACATGTAGGCAATTTAAATGGGACAAAAAACAATTTACCTGTGCAGGTAAAGTACTGATGCAGGATATCATTTACACACCTTTTTATACGACCGCAAAAAATTTTTGCGTTCGTATATTGGTATGACGTTGGCGTCGTCGTCGTCGTCTGAAGACACATTGGTTTTCGCACTCTAACTTTAGTTTAAGTGAATAGATCTCTATGAAAATTTACCATAAGGTTCAATACTACAAAAGGAAGATTGGGATTGATTTTGGGGGTTATGGTACCAACAGTTAAGGAATTAGGGGCCAAAAATAAGCATTTTTGTAACTTCCAGACATAACTTGTGTGTTAGTGTATGGATCTCTCTGACATTGTACCACAAGGTTCCATATCACACAGGGAATGCTGGGATTGATTTTGGGGGTAATTGCCTCAAAATATTAGGGATTAGGGGCCAAAAAAGGGGCAAAAAACAAGCATTTTTCTAGTTTCATGACAATAACTTGTGTGTAAGTGTATGGATCTTTCTGAAATTGTACTACAAGGTTCCATATCACAAAGGGAAAGCTGGAATTGAGTTTGGGGGTAATTGCCCAAAACGTTTAGGAATAAGGGGCCAAAAAGGGGCCAAAAATAAGCAGTTTTCTAGTTTCCAGACAATAACTTGTGTTCAAGTGTATGGATCTCTCTGAAATTGTACTGCAAGGTACCATACCACAAAGGGAAGGCTGGGATTGAGTTTGGGGGTGATGAATCATAAGGGGGTTCAAAAAATTTGGGGGGGGATTTTTTTTTTTTTTTTCCTTTTTTTAATTTTTTTCCTTTTTTTTTTCTTTTAAAATTTTCCATTTTAAGTTGGTTATTTCTGTTTCATATTTAAAAGCAAATAATAATGATATTGTAGGAGATACACACCAAACAGGATGTGTAAATTATTATATAATAAGTATTGTGCAATAGCAAGAAATTTTCAATTGCACAGTATGGCACAATAGCAAGAAATCTTCAATTGCACAGTATTGCGCAATAGCAAGAAATCTTCAATTGCACAGTATTGTGCAATAGCAAGAAATATCCAATAGCACAATATTGCGCAATAGCAAGAAATATTCAATTGCACAGTATTGTGCAAAAGAAGATCCTTCGTATAAATTGCTTATTTCTTGATCAATTTCAATCGGGTTTTATTCTTGAATTCTTGGGGTTCTTTAATATGCTGATTCTAACCGTGTATTAAGTTTTTGGATTTTGGGCCCTGTTTTTAAATTGGTCCACATTGAGGTCCAAAGGGTCCAAAATTAAACTTTGTTTGATTTCATCAAAAATTGAATTATTGGGGTTCTTTGATATGCCGAATCTAACCATGTATTTAGATTCTTAATTTTTGTTCCGTTTTCAAATTGGTCTACATTAAGGTCCAAAGGGTCCAAAATTAAACTTAGTTTGACAATGTTTGATTTTAACAAAAATTGAATTCTTAGGGTTCTTTGATATGCTGAATCTAAACATGTATTTAGATTTTTTATTATGGGCCCAGTTTTCAAGTTGGTCCAAATCTGGGTCTAAAATTAAACTTTGTTTGATTTCAACAAAAATTGAATATATGGGGTTCTTTGATATGCTGAATCTAACCATGTATTTAGATTTTTTGATTTTTGGGCCCCATTATCAACTTTGTCCACATTGAGGTCAAAAGGGTCCAAAATTAAACTTTGTTTGATTTCATCAAAAATTGAATTCTTGGGGTTCTTTGATATGCTGAATCTAACCATGTATTAAGATTTTGGATATTGGACCATAATAGGTGAATGTCCAATTTAAAATTTTTAAGTTCTTAGACCACATTCGTTCTGTGTCAGAAACATATGCTGTGTCAAATATTTAATCACAATCCAAATTCAGAGCTGTATCAAGCTTGAATGTTGTGTCCATACTTGCCCCAACTGGTCAGGGTTCGACCTCCCAGTCCATGGTTTATGACCCCAATAAATGACCAACATCCTAGGTTTTATGACCCCAATAAATGGTCACCATTGGATGTTGAACATAGCAGATGTTGACCATTACTAAGATTAAGTCACAGGTTGTACCGTAAAATTAAGTCAGCATTGCCGTAATTGTCAGTTGTATCCATACAGGAGTTATTGACCTATTGCAAAACCT